GGTCGGACCGGTTTGGTGACGCATGACGGCGATTATTCCCCTGACGGAGGAATGCGTTACCTTCTCATGCCTGGAGGGGCAGGTATTACACCACCCCCAGGACGTACAAAGCATTCCGGTCACCTCCAGCAGTCTCTGGTAACATTACGGAGAGGGGGTGGAAAGTTGGGGGGGGGATGGGACGGCTGGGCCGTAGAGGGTCTCTAGTGATCCATCTCAGATGTCCAGCCTGGTGGGTGAGGGGCAGTAACAAGACCATCAATGACAAACTCCAAGTGACTTTCTGGTGACCCGGCTTGTTTGATGTCTTCCATGGTGATTGTGAGCTGATTACATCCGTCATCACTTCCCCCTCCATTTCCTGCCGCCGTCCACATGTGGCAACAAAAGCTGCAACTCCGACCGACCGATCCCCTCAATTCCCACATCTCACTGGATGGGCGGGGGCGCTCGGTGGAGGTCTCCCCCTGGGCGGGGGCGCTCGGTGGAGGTCTCCCCCTGGGTCTCCTGGGCGGGGACGCTCGGTGGAGGTCTCCTCCTGGGCGGGGACGCTCGGTGGAGGTCTCCTCCTGGGCGGGGACGCTCGGTGGAGGTCTCCTCCTGGGCGGGGACGCTCGGTGGAGGTCTCCTCCTGGGCGGGGACGCTCGGTGGAGGTCTCCTCCTGGGCGGGGACGCTCGGTGGAGGTCTCCTCCTGGGCGGGGACGCTCGGTGGAGGTCTCCTCCTGGGCGGGGACGCTCGGTGGAGGTCTCCTCCTGGGCGGGGACGCTCGGTGGAGGTCTCCTCCTGGGCGGGGACGCTCGGTGGAGGTCTCCTCCTGGGCGGGGACGCTCGGTGGAGGTCTCCTCCTGGGCGGGGACGCTCGGTGGAGGTCTCCTCCTGGGCGGGGACGCTCGGTGGAGGTCTCCTCCTGGGCGGGGACGCTCGGTGGAGGTCTCCTCCTGGGCGGGGACGCTCGGTGGAGGTCTCCTCCTGGGCGGGGACGCTCGGTGGAGGTCTCCTCCTGGGCGGGGACGCTCGGTGGAGGTCTCCTCCTGGGCGGGGACGCTCGGTGGAGGTCTCCTCCTGGGCGGGGACGCTCGGTGGAGGTCTCCTCCTGGGCGGGGACGCTCGGTGGAGGTCTCCTCCTGGGCGGGGACGCTCGGTGGAGGTCTCCTCCTGGGCGGGGACGCTCGGTGGAGGTCTCCTCCTGGGCGGGGACGCTCGGTGGAGGTCTCCTCCTGGGCGGGGACGCTCGGTGGAGGTCTCCTCCTGGGCGGGGACGCTCGGTGGAGGTCTCCTCCTGGGCGGGGACGCTCGGTGGAGGTCTCCTCCTGGGCGGGGACGCTCGGTGGAGGTCTCCTCCTGGGCGGGGACGCTCGGTGGAGGTCTCCTCCTGGGCGGGGACGCTCGGTGGAGGTCTCCTCCTGGGCGGGGACGCTCGGTGGAGGTCTCCTCCTGGGCGGGGACGCTCGGTGGAGGTCTCCTCCTGGGCGGGGACGCTCGGTGGAGGTCTCCTCCTGGGCGGGGACGCTCGGTGGAGGTCTCCTCCTGGGCGGGGACGCTCGGTGGAGGTCTCCTCCTGGGCGGGGACGCTCGGTGGAGGTCTCCTCCTGGGCGGGGACGCTCGGTGGAGGTCTCCTCCTGGGCGGGGACGCTCGGTGGAGGTCTCCTCCTGGGCGGGGACGCTCGGTGGAGGTCTCCTCCTGGGCGGGGACGCTCGGTGGAGGTCTCCTCCTGGGCGGGGACGCTCGGTGGAGGTCTCCTCCTGGGCGGGGACGCTCGGTGGAGGTCTCCTCCTGGGCGGGGACGCTCGGTGGAGGTCTCCTCCTGGGCGGGGACGCTCGGTGGAGGTCTCCTCCTGGGCGGGGACGCTCGGTGGAGGTCTCCTCCTGGGCGGGGACGCTCGGTGGAGGTCTCCTCCTGGGCGGGGACGCTCGGTGGAGGTCTCCTCCTGGGCGGGGGCGCTCGGTGGAGGTCTTCTCACGGTTCTTCTTTCTCTCCGCAGAGTTTTGCCGGATCGATAAGCTCCTGTGTCACAATGAGGAGGAGTTGCTCAGCTTTGAGGCCGTGGTCAGTATCCACAAGCAGATGGACGACGACGCCAATGG